ATAATAAATAAGTCTTCTGTGATCCATCCATTTTTTGAGCATCCGTAGATGGCACCTGGAGGACCATTTCACTGAAGATGTACTGCCATTCTTCGGCGGGCAAATATAAACATGGGCGGAATGTAACTATCCGAAGCGTTGAAAGCACACATTGCTGTAGATGTTTTTCCCCGTTCCCAGCTTGTGATAAAACCAACCCGTTTCTGCCCTCGTTCTGTAAATATTTTAGGTGGACGCCGCACCGTGGTGACTTCAGATAAATTATTGAAAAAAATGGATACCTCTTCGCGATTAAATGCCTTCATTCGGTTAATACTGGTTCCTTCGGGTTTTCTTAACGCAATATTATCTCTAGACGTGAATCTAGCCGATCAGTCCTTGCCAGCAAATTGTTTTTCTTGATTGAATGGGACATTGATATTGTTGGATAGGCATATGCGCATCTTCGCACTTCAATGGGAGTTAACCCATAAAAATGTTTAGCCAACTTTTTAACTTGGTCGGCCAGTTCACTCTCAGCTTCTTTTGAAAAGACTGGCTTACGTCCTAACGAAGGTCCAGAATTAACGGCCTCATTTTTCATTCGGTCTTGTAAGATGGATCTTGGTACCCCAAATCTTACTGCTGCTTGTCTTATTGACACACCATTTTGGATGGCATGTAGTGCTTCTTGCAAATGCTCCTTCTGCCAGGAAGCTTTTTCTGTGTTTCTTTTATAATGCCGCGGCATCTGCAAATATAAAAAAAACTAGTTTAATAGCTGTGAAATTTTCTGTATTTGGGGTAATACCGGCCACTGCCGCCATTACCCATTAACTGTGGCCGGTATAACCCCAAAATGATGTGAACTGTTTTACTTGTGCTGGTATTTTTTTACAACTATATGTCCAAAATATATTACCATAATGAAATTATACTTAATAATCTATGTATTTACATATCAGTTCATCAAATTACTAGTAACCAAATCATCAATACTTACGTTTTACAATGCCAGTTTCTTATAACAGCGCGAACAAAATATGTTTGTTCACGATAAATATCGGCACGTGCACTCAGGCCACCATTAAACTGAAGACTGCGGCGGCACGCGGTAGTGCTTAAGGTCGCACGTCCCTTTTTTTCAACTGTGCGTTTGGAGCAGTATTATGAGCACTTATTGTCTCATTATTTCAGGGTGTGTATAAAAATGACTGATTTATGATAATCTCATGTTTTTTTGTCAAAATGACAACTTTTTTTTGCCAATTTTTTTACAGTCCCAGCTTCGAAACAAATAATCGTAAAGACATGAAATTAAGTGATTGCATTATGAATCAATAAAGGAACGTCCTTTATCGCTCATTTTCCACATATAATTTATTTTTCGCATAAAAATTTTATTTTTCTTTTGAAGGAAAACGATTTTTTGAAAGTATGCGGATAAAAGACATAAAGAGCTGAAAGAACAAGCCATCAAAGAAAAAATCAACTCATTTGCTCAAACGGTTTTTGAGTTGTAGATGTAATTTGACAAATATTTTGGCAAAACCACGCCTCCCGCTGACCACGCCCTCGGCGGAAGATTATTGGCCCTATTTAAGACAGGTGCGTCGTTCGCCATGCTGACTAGTTACCGTGTTGCCACGCGTGTGATTTATTCTTTGAGTACATAAGTGTTGTAGCTGTGATTATTTTCATTGTTTTAAGTGTATTTGGTGCTAATTGGTGTTTTGTTCTAACGTTATTCTCGCAGTTAGTTTTTGTTAAAATGCCTAAAGCCCGTGCTCCGCTATCAAGGAGACATACAGGAGGAGGAAAGAGATGTCTACGTCGAAAGAATGCTCTAAAAGCATGGTAAGTATTGCTTTAGAATATACAGTGTGGCAAGCAATAATTTCTCTAAAATCATTTTTTTTCCATTTGTTCGAATGACTTGACTCGGGTTTGTACAAATTCGATTTGTATGAAAACTATATACTCGAAACAAATTAAATTTGGCAGGTATATTAAGTAGTAATATAGCAACCACACATACATGGCACGGCATTTGTATTTCATCTGCTGTTATTCTAGATTTTATTATTGTTTATGCTATTTTTTCAAAAATAGCATCCGTGGAAATTCCAGAAGCAGAGTTTTGCTTTCACGTTAAAAACTACTTTAGAGTTTAGCAATATACTATGCCAAAAACCAACGTGACTGAACTGAACTTCAAAAGCAGAGACATATATGAGCAGCTAAACTGTTAAACAGGAACTTCAGGCGCAACTGTTTAGAAAGAATTGAAATGCATTTTGAGGAATTACGAAATTGATTTCAAGTCTTCTAACTTACCATAGCTTTGTTTGAACGATGATGTTTTTTCCTTATTTAGCTTCATCAATGGCGTAAAATATATACCTTGTAGTGACACGTTTCTGGATTCTTTTATCTAGGTTTTATTTTTCCATGTAGTTTGTACTTTCAAATATTGCCACATTTTTCGGAATTACCCTATATCAATAGACTTATTACAGATTACTGTAACAGAGCAGAAATGAAAATGACCAGGAATCTACATCATCCACAATCATCAGCTATCCTCCTCCTGCTTCTACTGCCAACAATAAGGCTGCAGATACTAACCCATCATGTGATAGCGAATACGAGGATTGTATGTCTTATGTCTTAGTTCTCGAGATAAATTTATCAAAACGGTGACAAGAAATCAAAAAGCTGATAAGAAATATTCACCCCCCTCCCTTCCCCATCTGGAGGATATCATTTATGGAAGCCTTTGTTAGTGTCAGTTTATTTTATAGATAAAATTATAAACAAAAGATACCCCCTACTTCTGGGCTATTCGAAATAGCTTAGGTTCCTCAGTACAAAGGGCGTTACCTCGCTTCAACCCTTGCTTGGGGGTGGAATTTCCAAAATTGCTTTGTGAGTGCTCATTTAATTTATATGTATGAACCAAATATACAGGGTGACTTTGAAGTTGAGTCATTAATTTTCAGATAATGATTGTAGAAGGAAAATAAACCAAAATATGTGTGTAAAAATAAAAAAAAAATAAAAAAAAAATGTTACCTTGTTTAATAAAGTATCCTCCCGACAAGTATTTCAGTGCGGACCTGTATTTGATCGTGCGGTCTTGGAGCAGCATGCCCTCACCTGTGAGGTCTTAAGTCACCTGATTCACGAGCCCTTTGCACTACATTAAATAAGGCACGAGGGGTTGGTTGCACTCGATTGGGAAACCGATTCGCATAAATCCGTGATGCATCAGGGAGCATTTTGTAAAGACTGCCCCCCCGTAAATAAGAATCATGTCCACAAGTTCAGCATTTTCGTAAACATGTGCCATTTTTGATTTCGTTTGAGCCACGCAACACACTACTATTCACTTACGCGTTATCGATTGACGAAAAACATCATGATAAACGTTTCAAATTCTTTCGCTTTTTTGTTTCCGATGCGATGAACCGGTCAAGCGGATTATATCCGTTGTCGCCAAACACGAGCATATAATAGGCAGGGCGGTACTCAAACTTCCAAAGGGCTATAACTTTGTTACTTTAATTTTACCAGAAAAATGGTAAAGGAAAAAAACATTTCTTTTGATCAGATCTACTCACTGTTAAAATAAATGACTCAACTTCGAAGCCACCCTGTATATAAAAACCAATATTTATATCACGAACTAAAATAATAATAGTTTCTTGATGCACATGGTCACATTTACCCCCATTTCAACCCCTTCGTCTCCAAGGTCTAATCTATATCTGTTCCAAAATGCATCGGAATTGGTTCAGCCGTTTTGGCGTGAAAACGGAACATACAAACACACAAACATACACACATTTATAATATTAGTAGGGATGCTCATATCTGTATCTAGCAGGTATATATACTTAAGTGGGATTTTGAAGTTTATTTGTCTATATGTATGCATTTGGATTGTTGGGTCTACTGAAACTGGATATATGTGAATAAACTTATACTACCTATGATGTCTATTTTTTCAAAGTAGCTTATATACATACAGTGCTTTTCAATGGTCTCTCTACTTTTTGTTTGAACGGGTCACGTTAGCTAGCTGAAATTCATGGGTGCAATAATTTTGGAACATTTTTTAAATGGACTGAAAGGTCAGGTGCTACCTCATTCTTACTAGTGCTTTATTCTAGACTATAACATTTCCAAGACTGGCGAACTGACAGGCTGTCAAAGTTAACGGGTAGTTGTATGAAAGGGTGACAATTTACCAAAATCCCATATAGCCTGGCGCCGGCAGGATGACTAGGCCGGTGCGCCGTTCTGGCAACGTTGTGTAATCACACGGCGATGGGTAGGCGTCTTCAGAGCCCAGTGGGCCAGGCGTTCGATTTAATCATGAATTTCCTCATTGTACTGCCACCTTGCGGATATAATTTTTTTTTGGGGGGTGGGCTGAATGCCTTTAAAAGCCAGCTGCCAACGAGCGCGCCGCTCGGCTATACACGGATATACTCGGAATAGTTGCAGGCCGGCATTACCCCACTGGCCGTTATTCCCCCGCTTTACCCTAAACTTATCATAAGATAATATTTCCTGTTCATTTTAGCGTTTTTAAACTGTTTTCTCCAACACATCAGGGCAAAATGAAAAAATGCATAGTTGCATAAATTTATATATTTTGAAATATTTCATTCAGTTATATAATTTGTAATACTACTACACTTAACTTTACTCATAAATATATGTCTAAATGATTTATACCAATAACGTTGTAATAATTCAACAACATAATAATTTAAAAAAAAGGTATGTCGTTTTAGGTACAATTCTCTACATTTGCCGAGTTTAGAAGTTATCTACTAACTCTGGATGCTTCAACATATGCGTTGCTAAATGACACTTTATGGTTGTTTTATATGCACAATGTGTGCATTCATGTATTTTACTAGGAACAGATGCAATAAAGTCAGGATGTTTCCTGATCATATGATTATTCATATCCTTTCTGTCTCTGAATTTCGCTTAGCAGTGCATACCTATGTTGAATTTAAAGTTAACTTTATGTCTGGATGTTTTCGCATATGCCTAACAAACTTACTCTTGATGGTTGCTTTAAAGTCACAATGTTTACATTCATGTATTTTACCAGAAATGGATGGAATAAAGTCAGGATGTTTCTTAATTATATGATCATTCAGTATTGTTTTTCCTCTGAATTTCGCATTACAGTGAATACATATGCTGAATTTATAGTTACGTACCGACTCAGAATGTTTCAACAAATGCTTAGCTAAATAATTCTTGATGGTTGTTTTATATGCACAATGAGTACATTCATGTATTTTACTAGAAACGGATGGAATAAGGTCAGGATGTTTCTTGATTATATGATCATTCAGTGTTATTTTTCCTCTGAATTTCGCATTACAGTGAATACATATGCTGAATTTATAGTTACATACCGACTCAGGATGTTTCAACAAATGCTTAGCTAAATAATTTTTGATGGTTGTTTTATATGCGCAATGAGCACATTCATGTATTTTGCCAGAAACGGATGGAATAAAGTCAGGATGTTTCTTAATTATATGATCATTCAGTCTTGTTTTTCCTCTGAATTTCGCATTACAGTGAATACATATGCTGAATTTATAGTTACGTACCGACTCAGCATGTTTCAACAAATGCTTAGCTAAATAATTTTTGATGGTTGTTTTATATGCACAATGAGCACATTCATGTATTTGACTAGAAACGGATGGAATAAAGTCAGGATGTTTCTTGATTATATGATCATTCAGAGTTGTTTTTCGTCCGAATTTCGCATTACAGTGAATACATATGCTGAATTTATAGTTACATACCGACTCAGGGTGTTTCAACATATGTGTAACAAAATTACTCTTGCTGGTTGTTTTATAAACACAATATGAACATTTGTGAATTTTACTAGAAACGGACGCAACTAAATCAGGATGTTTTCTAATCAAGTGATTATCTAGATTCATTTTGCTAGCGAACTTCGCATCACAATGTTTACAGGTGTTATGCTTACAGCTTAAACGTGGCATGTTTCTACTTTTCTGATTTCTATGTTCTTTCATATGACTATTCAAACTATACTTAAATCTAGCAGAATAATTACAATTATGACAATAAGATGACTTGCTGCTTGACTTTTTATACAATACAGACAGTTGCTTCTTCAGGATTCCCTGATTCACCACACTGGAAGAGATCAAACTCGTATTATTTTGGATGATGCAATCAAATTTTGTTTGTTTCATATGTTCAATTATATTTCATATTGCCGTTCTCGAATTACAATAATACACTCGTAGTAGCACTTTTTTCTGCGCCCAGCATGCACGATTTTAAAGTAAATCCGGACCTGTCTCGCCCCGACTTCGCTCCAGTCCATCCATCCGCCGGCGCTGCTAGCTCATTGCAATTTTTTCGTGCGCCCGGTGTGTTACTGTGTTTACGTTTCGGTGTTTACAGCGTGCAGCGTTTAAAATGATTTCCAAACGAGACTCTAAAAAACGAAAACTTCAAGCATTGTTGGAGGACTTATTAGATAGTGCAAGTAAGTATATTAATATTCCTTATTGTTCGTTTTATTACAGATTTACTGATCGCAAAACCCCACAGGGTTTAGGCGAATACACGAAATACACGTTTCCCACAGAAACGGTGATATTTTATAAACATAAACCATAGGCAATGAGGTAGTCCTACTGGCCTATTGAGCCTTTAGTATTTATAAACGATGTTTCCACAGAAATGCGTTTATTAATATTCCCACAGGAATATATATAGGTATATTAATTCAGTTATTTCGACTGATATGTATTTGTTATTCTTACAAGAATAGCTCGATAAGAATGTCTTTTTTACCTGTTTTGACCTCGACGCGTACCCGAGCGTTATCTCTTTACGCTGACCTGTTTGTATTATTTTATTTTACCATCTATACGATCTATTTAGCGGGGATTTACTAGGCAACTTTAGGTTGTTCTATTTTAGGTGAATCGGATGCTTCACAACATCCTGAATCTATACAGAATGAGGAGACCCCAGGGTTAGATGAAGAAGACGAGGAAATGAACATTCCCATCGCCCATCTAGGAACAGGTGAAAAACCTGTTGATCCTTTAATTGCCCTCCTTGAAGGAAAAGGATCAAACTTAAACAATGGACCAGCAGTTCATGAAGATATTCAACAGTTGCTAACGCTGTTTATAGCTAAAGGTTTAGATAATGATACACGCAAAGAGGCCATTGATTCGTTTCCGTTGCTGAAAGGCTCTACGGCATTAAATCCGCCCGAACTAAATGCTGAGATAAAAATCTGTTTGAATTCCGCTGTTCTTAGACAAGACGCATTTTTGGTAAAAATTCAAAACCAATTAGCCGCCATAATCAGTGCTTTGGCGGTGCAGTTTAATGAACTGTATAAAGATTCCAAGTCCAACCCCAGTCAGCCAACCGAGGAAGTTTTAAAAAAAGCTGGTGATCCTCTAAAATTAGTAGCGGACACATTTCATTCCATCTCTTGTCATCGGAGATACCTAATCGTTCCATCTTTGGACTCATCCATAAAAGACATCTTAGAGGCGTGTCCAGTTGATTCTCTATTGTTTGGAGTGGAATTCCCAGAAAAATGGAAGATGTCTAAAGAGGCGAAGAGATTGGGAGCTTCTCTTAAAAAGAAACCAAACAAGATCTTAAGAACAGGACCAAGTTTTTCTACTCAATCCATGGCTGTTACTGGGCCGTCATCTTCAACTCCACGTTCCCGTACTTATCAGGCTAGAAATAAGAGTCCTTTTTTACCCTCGAGCCGCCCACCAGCCAGATCTCGATACAAGAAAGAACACGAAGAAGTGCGGAGGTATCCACCACAAAAACGACGTTAAATCAGGTACCCATTATTTAATAACAAATATGCTGGCCGCTTAGTTAACTACATAGACCAGTGGTCATTAATCACTAATAACTGTAAGAGCATTTTAACATGGCTCTCTGGATACAGACTACCCTTTATTAACAACCCAGTACAGACACAGGAACCTACTGTAAATTTCAAACAAATCAATTTAAACGATATGGAGGAGAGTATTAATAACATCATTCAAATTGGAGCAGTTTCTGAAACTCCTCCCCAGTTGAATCAGTTTTTGTCTTCTTTCTTCTTAACAAAGAAACCAGACGGTACCTCTCGATTTATACTCAACTTAAAAAACCTAAATTGTTTTCTGGATCCACCTCATTTTAAAATGGAGGACTAACGAACTGTGTTACAGTTAATATTTAAAGATTGTTTTTTTACAACTTTGGATTTAAAAGATGCTTATTTTTTAATTCCAATTCACAATGATCACAAAAAATATTTGATGTTTAAGTGGGATAATAAATATTATATGTTTAATTGTTTACCTTTTGGCCTCTCTACAGCGCCCTTTCTATTCACAAAGATTATGAGAGTAGTAATAAAATTTCTTCGATCAAGAGATATTACTTGTGTTTCATATTTGGACGATCTTATCATTATTAGTAGATCAGAGGGAGAGGGCATCAAAGATGTAGACTTTACTTCACAGCTGTTGGAATCTCTGGGTTTCATCATAAACATCAAAAAGAGTTCTTTTATTCCTTCTCAACAATGTCAATATTTAGGGTTTATCTTTGACTCCCAGCGTTTATTACTATTATTGCCAGATGAAAAAAGGTTATCTCTCTTACCATTTATTACCCAGGTCATTAAAAAAGATAGAGTGACAATACATGTTTTTGCAAAATTATTAGGTAAATTAGTAGCTGCTTGTCCTGCTATTCAGTATGGCTGGGTTCATTTAAAAACCTTGGAACGTGAAAAAGTTATAGCGTTACAGAAAAACAATCAAAACTATAATTGCTCTATGAATATCTCTGTTGCAGTTACAAAAGACTTACAATGGTGGATAAAAGCTATTTCTAGTAATAAGGGTGTCCCTATACTTTCAAGTCACAAGTTCACACTAGAAATATTTTCAGACGCATCACGCTCTGGTTGGGGAGCATTCTGTAATGGAAAAGCTACTAACGGGTTCTGGGATCCAATACAACAAACCAAACATATACATTTTTTGGAACTCGTTGCGGCTTTTCATGCTGTGAAATGCTTTGCCAATAAATTATCTAATTGCTCACTACTCAGTCGAATTGATAACACGACAGCTATTGCGTGCATCAATCGGATGGGAAGTGTAAGGTTTGGACCCCTCAACACCATATCCAAAAAATTGTGGACTTGGTGCGAAAGTCGCCAAATTTTTCTGGTCGCCTCATATATTAATACGGCAGATAACATATTCGCAGATAGGGAGTCAAGAACAACAAAAATAGATACAGAATATGAACTATCTTCATATTGTTATGAAAAGATTTGTTCTCATTTTGGAACTCCGAGCATTGACTTGTTTGCAACCTATATCAACTTTAAATGTTTACGTTATATTTCTTGGAAACCAGATCCTGAGTCCTTACGGGTAGATGCATTTACGGTATTTTGGGGAGACGAATTTTTTTATGCTTTCCCACCATTTTGTTTGATATCTAAATGTCGACGTAAAATTATCAAAAATGGTGGTCTTTCTGTATTAAGTCAGGAAAAAACCCTTATTCGTATTCCTTGAACTTATTAATCTCATTTTTAACTGAAGAATATAAAAAAGGTGCCTCATATGCTACACTAAACTCACAATATGCGTCCCTCTTATTATTATTTAATATAGATGCCATAGATAAAGCTCATTTAAAGAGATTTCTCAAAGGTGTTTCCAAGAAAAATCCGCCAAAACCCAAATATCAAACCACATGGGATCCTACCTGTGTTTTAGGTTTTTTATCATCTTGGTACCCATTAGAGGAATTACCAACTTCTCAATTAACGCAAAAAATGGTTACTTTACTAGCATTAGTTACAGTCCACAGGATACAAACTTTGTCAAAAATTAAAATTTCGAATATAATATATTTTGAAGATAAATTAGAAATAAGGATACCAGATTCTATAAAGACCTCATCGTTAAAAATTTCCAACCTGCTTTGGTTATACCATATTTTAGAGAGGAACCAAAGTTGTGTTTAGCTTCTGTTATTGATGTTTATATTAAAAAGACTAAAGATACCAGACCTAACGATACAGATTACTTAGTTTTAACTTATAAAAAGCCAATACATCCGGCGAGTTCACAGCGTATCAGTAACTGGATAAAGCTTACTTTGAAAAGCAGTGGGATTGATATGTCTCAATTCTCCGCTTATAGCACGCGTCATGCGGCTACTTCGGCAGCATATCGAGCTGGCGTGTCAATTGAACAAATCAGAAAGACAGTTGGCTGGACAAAAAATAGTTCCATGTTCAATAGGTTCTATAATCGCCCGTTAGGTCTGGACTCTACAGAATTTGCAAAAGCAATCTTGACTTTAAAATAGGTTCAAATTGGCCTTGTGTTTTGTTCCTATAGATTTAGATTGGTTTGGTGTTTTGTTCCTATGGTTGCTTAGCAATAAAAGATTTTTGCAGATCTAGATCGTTTAACTTTAAACATCTACGAGTGTATTATTGTAATTCGAGAACGGCAATATGAAATATAATTACTAGATCAATTGACTTACCTTAAGGAAAATTGATCGATATTATATGAATATTGCCGTTCGAAGAATTACAATCCCTCCCATATCCCTACCCCCTTCACGATCTAGATCTTCCTGGGACTTCACCAAAATTGCAATGAGCTAGCAGCGCCGGCGGATGGATGGACTGGAGCGAAGTCGGGGCGAGACAGGTCCGGATTTACTTTAAAATCGTGCATGCTGGGCGCAGAAAAAAGTGCTACTACGAGTGTATTATTGTAATTCTTCGAACGGTAATATTCATATAATATCGATCAATTTTCCTTAAGGTAAGTCAATTGATCTAGTAATTATTGTAGTTTACATTAAAAAATCACAGTCTAAAACCTGATGGTTTAGTTGTAATTGCGATTGAAGGTTCATTATCCCGTTTTTTTTTCGAAATTTCACAAAGTTGCAAATATCTCCTGAACTAAAAAATTTC